CAGTTCGATTATATTGCTAATAGTTATGAATATGGGATCCTTTTTGATGTGTGTAGCTTAGAAATATATGTCAAATGGTTTTATGGATTTTTTTCACACAAGTTTGTCGAGATATCTTAAAGATTCTGTTTTACCGTGATTATCTCTATACGACAATACTTATTTCTATTCGAACAAGGTTTTAATGTCGAAAGTTTGCTACAAAGGTTGGTTTTTTATCGGAGAATATGTAATGTTCTTTCCATTCTGCAGAAGATTAGAATCGAGATCAAGGAGACTGCTTTATTGGAACCCTCCAAAAGCAACCATACAAAAGGTACTTTGGTTTTCTAAATTTTTATCTTCAACAAAGTTTTACACAAAGTGCATGTCGATACCTTCATTTTGGCATGCTGAATATCTAAAGAATTCGCCATTTGATGTTACATCACAATACCATATTCATTTGGATCTTTTACCTAAGATATAGTCGAAGTACACAAATCCGAGCGATCTTTTGAAATAGGAAATTGCCTCCTAAGGTTGGAGCTACCATGCAAAATTCTCCGAAAAATTTGATGGAATAGTTATGAATTTTTTTACAATGTGCAGCTTTCGCATTTGAAGATTAGAACAAGGAAGCCTCAAGCTTTGATGAAATATATGTCTTGTGGAAGGTGTCTCGCTGGTGGGTCCCCCAAATAAAAAGGTACCTCAGAACATCATATAATTGGATCATAAAGTCCTAAATTTGAATGGGCAGACATATTAATCAAATTTTTACTCATGCACCGGCTGTCAATTAGATAATTTTCTATTGAGAACAAAAGTTTCAAGATTAATTATAATGGAAGGTTGTAGCTTTTTTTTATTATCTTGTTCTGATCAGCTATTTTCTCGGTATAAAAATGTTCGAAACCGCTAATGGTCCATGCTGCCACCTGATCGGGATCTTTATATATTTCTGTACCAAGATCAATGAATGTTATTAAAACTAAAAATGAACAAATATTTCATTGAACATCAGAAGGAAAAATCTGTACATAGGGAGCTTGTGCGGCTGAGAGTTTGGGAGAGAGAGCAAAAGATTACAAGAGAATGAAATGGAAAAAGTGAAGGTCTTAACCTTACAATTCCTATTTATACTTTGACTAATATCAACTAAAAATGCTATTTACAATACTAAAATGTATTTAATGAAGATAAAAACAGAAAGGACATGAAAGTAAATGTAAATGTACAATCTAATAGATGTCCATGGCCTCCTAGCTGGTACTGTCCTTGGATCCTGCCTTTGGATCCTGCAGATACAATTTTGCAATGATAATCCCATCTGCAATACATAAATCAGAAGATATTAGTTCATCATATATGTGCAGACACAAATTGAAGATATATCAAGCATTGAAAATTGTTTGGAGTAGTTAAGAGTGTGTATGGTAAGGATAATAAGTTAGCTTATAGCTTATTTGGTTAGTTTATAAGCTTCATATATTTAAATAAGCTTGGTTTGGTTAGACGAGCTTAGTTTGGTTACAACACTTGTGTTTCCTATTTGTTGGATTATTCTATTTCGACCACCTCAATTACGAAGAACTTCGTCTCTAATATATATATATATTTATATAGACCATCACAAATTTGTGAGTGTCTGTATCTTCCAGACGACATTCTTCATAACTGAAGTGGTTGAAAAAGGAAAGTCAACAGCGAAACACACACATGTAACGGGACAACTATTTTGAGATAATGAAGTTGAGGGAAACACATGTGCAATGGAGGTTTGGATACATCGAAGAAGAGAGATATTGTGCGTACCAACGGGTGGAGAAGATCAGTCAACTATAATTGATGGCTCAAATTGTTTATTAGCATAATGAATTTTGATTATTTTGTGTTTGTGTGTACAATCACTTAATTATCTAGATATTATCGGATACATACCTATAATGTGCTTTAGTGGTATAGTTTTAGTGTTTAAGATGCAAATTGTTTGTGCACATTGCAACTACCTTGCCTTAGTCTTCAAAGGATCCATTATATATCTTCGGAAACAAAATTCAATGGTGCTTCTTCAATGTGTGTTTGTAACTGAATTAATATCTCTTGCTTTATGTATTGAAGATAGGATTATCATTGCAAAATTGTGACTACATCGTTAGGATCGACTTCTCCGAAACTTCGATGGAATATTTATGAAATATTTTTAGAATGTGTAGCTTTCACGTTTGAAGATTAGAACAAGGAAGCCCCAAGATCTGATGAAATATGTCTTGTAGAAGGTGTCTTTCTGGTGGATCCCCCAAATAAAAGGTAGCTTAGAACATCATACAATTGGATCATAAAGTCCTAAATTTAAATGGGCAGACAAATGTTTTCATTTTTCTTTCATCTTTTCATTAGACAGAGCTCTATATATTGACAACAAAAGTTTCAAGATTTATCAAATGAAGAGTTGTAGCTTTTTTTTTTCATTATCTTGTTATACGATGAACTATTTTCTCGGTACAAAAATGTCGAAATCGCTAACGGTCCATTCTGCCATCTGATCGGGATCTTTATATATTTCTGCACCAAGATCAATGGATGTCCATTGCCTCCTAGCTGGTAAAGTCCCTGGATCCTGCAGATAGCAATAAACACCTCTGTATAATAATCATTTGAAAAAAATTTGGCAAAAATGCATTTTTAGTTCGTCTTGTTTAACGACATAGCAATTTTAGTCCCGAGGTTCCAACATTTCGCTTTTGGATTATGCGATTTAATATTTTACTACCATTTCAGTCATTTGAGTACTGAAATTGCAACAAATTTTCAAATTTTTTATTAACAATTTAAGTCCTGTAATTTAAAATTTTGTTGCAAAAGAACTGAAATTGCAACAAAATATTAAATCACCTGACTAAAAGCCAAAAAATTGGAATCTCGGGACTATAGTGTTGAACCAACAAGACTAAAAATGGNAAAACAACAACAAAAAGAAAAAAAAAAAAAAAAAAAAAAAAAAAAGGAAAAAACAAACAAACGAACAAAAGAATCGAAAACCTGGTAAAAGTAAAGGGATTGGGACAGCCTCCCAACATGAAGCTCCCAAGTCCTTGCATCTCCAATCCATCCATTTCCTTTGGTTGTTGGATAACCGTAATCACCCCAAACGGGATTAGGCAGTATCTGCACAATCTCCTGCGGCTGCGGATTGCTGTATGGGTCGCAAGGCGCGCTCGGTTGCTCCACGTGGGCCCCATTTCCCGGGGCACAGTACAAGTGGTAGGCCTCGTAAGGGAATTGGGCCTTTTCGTGCCGGCCCACTTGGGTTCCATTGGGAAACGTGTGGTGGGGCGGGCAGAGTCTCGTGTCGTTGGGCCTGCACCAAGAAGGGGTGCTCGGGTTGAGTATCATCTCGCTGTATCGAGTGACGTCGGACACCACGTCACCGTCGCACGGCCGGCCGTCGTTCTTCCAGCAGCCGCCCATGTCGAGCAGGTAGAACTGGCTGTGGGGCCCGCCGCCAGCTGTCACGTTGAGGGTGAACCGGACCCTGAAATCCGGCGATTCCGGTATCTGCGAATTTTTGGGTCTTTTTATTATTATTATTTTTTTATTTGGGTAAACCAAAAATAGCGTAAAAATACTCAAAATCGTGATGCAACATTTAAAATTTTGTGTCTTACGTTATTTTTCTACTGTAGCTACTAGGGTAATGTTTGTGAAAAAATTTGATAGTGATTTCAAATCCATCGCTTTAAATTGAAAATTTATGACATAAGTTGTATTTTCATAGATCAAATTTAATTATTTTATGAATTTTTATTGTTTGATAGCCCTATCAAGATATTTATGCTAAATTTTTGTAAGAAATAACACTTCAATGTTATTGATTGAATTCACTACTTGATTTGAAACTCTTTTGTTTGACTTAGATTTTAAAATAAAGATTTCAATGCTCTCAAATAGGTTACGCCGCACGCAACAATATTTACGCTATACGCTTTTTAGAAAACAGTGCAGTAATAAATCATGAAATAAAACTTACAATCTTTAGCATCCCGCGAGTCGGGTAGTGGTACCCTCCGGACAACCCTCTCGTGGCATCGGCTCGTAGGTAAAGCATTAGCCACGGGTACTTAACCGACGTCCTCAAAACATGTCGAAAAACCCAACTCCCTTTCCCGAGCTCCTTCTCCCAAGTAACCGAGTAATACGAAATATTCTTTTCCCGCCTCCAATCCGCGTTCAAATCCCACGACCCATAAAAACTCCCCTCGAGCAAATTATTCCCTTCCAAAGTCGTGTAATTGTGGTAAATCGACGGTTGGTTCATGCAGCCTTTACCGAAACATGGGAATTGGGTTCTTGGGCCAAACGGGCCCACTTTAAGCCCGTTTTTCGGGCACTTGGCTGCGTAAGTGTCCATGTTGCCGCTCTTGAGCATGATCATCCAAAATTGCCAAGGCTTCGGTTTATCGTCCACCTGGCATTTTTTCCCGAGGTAGAGTTCCTTTTGTGCCGCGTAAAGGTCGACATTGTTGAGTGAATTCGGGTCGAGCCCTTGGAAAGGTTTTCCGACGCCTAATTTGTTGTCGCTTTCGGTAACTCTGTGGAGGAGTTTGTATGGGGATGTTGAGTTGCAGGTTGAGCCGTTGTTTTCTCTTGTGCAGGAGACTATTTAAAAAAAAATTAAAAATTAAAAAAAAAATTACAGAAATGAGTATAAAATAGTTAATTTAGCTGAAGAATGAATGAACACCAACATAGAACAAAATATGCTGTCTGCAAACAGTTTTTTCCTTCTCTTCAACAATAAAAGGGAAACCAAAAAAAAAATATCTTTTTCTTCTTATTTTTCAGAAAATGGACTCAAAATGTGGATCTCCTCTGAAAAATTCAATTTTGAGGAAAAAATCATCATGCCAACTATATAATTGATAATTTATTTTTTGTGCATTCAGCCTAGTTTATCTCATTCAAACAACAAATGAGAAAAAACTAAAAATCACAGAAAGTACTATTTACTTTACCCAGATTTATTCTACACAATCCCACTAACACGATTAAAAATAAAAATAATAATTATTATTATTTTCTTACAAAATTACTAGTTTAGTTATCAAATTAACAATTAATATATATATTTTTTATATCACATCAATTTTAAGTATTACATTTCATCTCATATTCTTTCACACTCCTAAATTTATCTCTTTTCAAAAATATTTATCCTTTTCACATTTTCATCTCACAAACACAAAACAATTTTTGTTTTCTTTTTTCTTTTTTTTTGGAAAAAGAAATCTTATATCAAATCAAGCAAATTTCCCAGATGCAAAAGTAATAACTAGCAGTGTAGCATTAAAATCTAACATGAGGTGCAACATTAGTAATGTTAAAAATAAAAAATGTGACTTACAAGTGACAACCCTTCAGATAACCATTTTATCTGTACTATTATTTTCCTAAAATTTCCAATAATTAAAAGAATATATGGAGTTCATTAATAATAATAATTAAAAAAAAAAAAAAAAAAAA